ACAAGTCTTGAAGGTAGCTGTGCTACACTCAGTGGAAGCTTTATTAAGAGCCATGCCTGCAAGGTAGCTAACAAATGCCTGAGTTATGCAATACCAGGCCCAGTTACTGGATCAACCAAGAATCATCTTCATAAAGATAAATGCCCTCAACCCAGCTACTCTTATCCCTGAGGACAATCCCAGTGGGCCCATCCATGACTCTGCAGAACATTGGCAGAGACCCGACTGACATTCCCAAGGCCACTCCTGATGAGGTATTTTACACAAACAGAAGTAGTTTTGTCAAGGATGGAGTTCAGTATGCAGGGGCAGCTGTGATGCCAGCAGATAAAGTAATTTGGGCACAAGCCCTAAATCATAGATCTCAGCCCAGAGAGCTGAAATAATCACTCTCTCAAGCCTTGAGGTAGACAAAAGGAAAAACTATTACTATTTACACTGACAGCCATTATGCTTTTACTACAGTCCATGTTCATGGGGCCTTATACAAGGAAAGAGGACTTAACTTCTGAAGGAAAACAAATAAAAAAAATGTTGACCAGATATTGGCTCTCCTGAACACCATTTGGCTTCCCCGAAAGGTGGCCATTATTCATTGTAAGGGTCATCAAAAAGAAGAGACCCCTGAGGCTAAAGGAAACAACTGAGCTGATCAGGCAGCTCAGGAGGTCACCCTAAAACCAGTGGGGACTCTAGAGCTACTAGTTATTACACCCCTACCAGAGCTACTGGAAAGACCTCATTATTCAAAAGATTTAGAATTAGAAAGGAGCTTCCCTACTGAGACACTCCCCTCTGGATAGAGAAAGCTGGAGATGCATGGATATTCATCCCTCAGGCCCTGGGGCAGACCTTGGTTACACTGACACATCAGAACACTCATTCATTTAGGGGAAACTCACTTGAGTCAGTTATTGCAAAAACATTTCTTCATTCCCCACTTAAAAGACCTAGTCTCGGGCTCAGTGGTAGAGCGCTTGCCTTGCATGCATGAGGCCCTGGATTCGATTCCTCAGCACCACATAAGCATAAAGAAAAAAGCCAGATGTGGCACTGTGGCTCAAGAGGTAGAGCGCTAGCCTTGAGCTGAAGAGCTGAAGGATAGCGCTCAGGCCCAGAGTTCAGGCCCCACGACTGGACCCAAAAAAAAAGACCTAGTCTCTGATGTGGTATCCTGATGTGTAAGTTGCCAACAGGTAAATGCTGGAAAGATGGAACATGTGGAGAGGGTGCTTATACGAGGAACCTCACCTGGTGAATTTGGGGAAGTGAACTTCATGGAGGTAAAGCCTGGAAGGTATGGGTATCGGTATCTGTTAGTACTAGTGGACACTTTTTCAGGCTGGGCTGAGGCACACCCAACAAAAACCAAAAACACTCAGGTAACAGTTTAAAAATTACTCCATGACACAATTCCTCCATTTAGCTTACCCTTAGCAGTGATCCAACAATGGCCCAGATTTCACAGACAAGGTTAATTATTAGCTAAGGCCATAGGAATAAATTAGAGTTACATTGTATTTATAGACCTCAGATTGAGGGCAGGTAGAAAGAATTAACAGGACCTTAAAGGAAATCTTAACTGAATTAATTACAGAGACTGGCCTTTGCTTTTCTCCCCTTTGCTTTCCTCCAAGCAAGATGCACCCTTTGTGTTAGAGAATTCACTCCCTTTGAAATAATTTATGGCAGACCACCCCCTTTGGTTCCTAAACTTGGGGAAGCTATATTAATAGAAATGTTTAACCACAATCTTGTACAGTCACTGCAGGCTTTGCAACATGTTCTTTTACACGCCTATCCTTTAGTGGCTGAGAAAAACTCCACCCACTCTGTTGCTGGTATGGGTAAAAAGGCATCACACTCCTGAATTGGAACCCAAGTGACAAGGATCTTACTCAGCAGTGCCAACTACACCATCAGTTGTTAATGTTGCAGAAAAACATCATTAGATCCATCACTCTCAAGTGAAACAGGCAGTGAGACAATATCCAGAGACAGCTGCAAGATGGGCCATTCAGCAACTCTCAGAGGATCCCCTAAAGATAAGACTTACCGAATGTTAATTAATGGGTTTACCAGGGTCACAGTTCTTTGCTATGGTTGCCCCTCCTTGCTTTTCATGCATTACTAAGACTTCCCATGGGGAGAACTTTTCTGACCACACCTGTTATTATCTGCTGGACCTGATGCATTCTAAGCCTGTCCAATAGAGTAGGGGAGGTGATTAGGATTTGGAAAAAAAAAAAAAAAAAGAGGTAAAAAGCAATGATTTGATTGGAGGTGAAAACCAGTGGGGAATGTGATAAGCCAGTTTTCTTGCTGATCCCCACTTCCAGTTCTGTCTGCCTGGTATTAATCATCCTTGATGACCAGCAACTGGCTAGCCACTCAGGTGTTCAGGTGGCCATAGGGCTCAGCCCTGAAACAGTTAAATAGGTAATAGCCCTAACATAGTCTTGTGTCTCAATGAGGCATTACATGTAGCCCAGGGCAAGGCAGCTGCTGGCTGGCTAACAAAACTCCTTTGTCACCTTTGACCATGCCTCCGTGGATTTTCTCAACTCCTAGGTCATTTTAGTGGATGAGTTCTCCTTGATCCAGATTCTCAACACCATGTGGTGTGGGCAGTCATTTTAATTTAGTCTTTCTATTACATGTTAGCATATCCTCCCTCATTTTGGTTTGACTGCCTCCCTCTTAGATCTTCTGCTCTTTCCCTGAAATCAGGCCTGGCTATAATTGTTAGCCCCCACCTCATTCCTGAACTAAGATATCTCCACCCTCCAGATGCATCCACATAATGCTGTTCACCCAGGTTGGACCACAGCTGCTGACCCTCCATGGTTATTGGCTATCTCTGGTGTCCAGCAGAGCACTCCCCTGCCTAAGTAGAAGCCTCCACCTCTAACTCCTAGACCATAAAATATATCTCCTTCCCAAGAGTAGGCAGCTACTCTTTCTCTCCCGAGAGAGCTAGCCTGTCAGACCCTTGCTGACATTAAAAACTCCTTTCTTTGCAGACTGTGTGTCTGCATGGTTCTATGGGATGGTGCTTTCACTATGTATTTAGAGTAACCAGACCTTATGCTTGGGAAAACATTGTTTTGTAAGACACCCCTCCTAGCCCCCAACGGATGCCTGCAACTGCATCTACTACACTGTTTTTCCTGTCCATTCTTATTATACATCTAAGCAACATCAGCATACAACTTTACTTTGCATCTTTTGGCATGAGCACAACTACATGCTGAATCCTATGAGTCTTCTTAGTGAATCACTGAACTTGACAGTGGGCTTGGGGACCACTACCAGCTATATGGAAAGATAACTGTATTGAGTAAGCCTGTAGGATTGGAACAAAAGTCAGAAAAAAAGTTGATGTTTCCTTTCACATATCAGCCTTTTCCAGGCTTTCAGTTGCATTGAGTATTTCTGTTTTTATAAATAAATAAAAAACTGTAATCACTATTAATTCTAAAAGTAGACCTTAAAATTCTCCATGAGGATTTATTAATATATGGGTATATTTTACTTCAATTGTTATGAAAAATGAAATTACTTTATCATCTTCTCTCCTCCTCCAGTGGAACATATTCACAATGTTTCTTGAATTTTAATCAAAGTTTTAATCAATTTTAAATAAGAAGTGGTGCGAACTCCAGGTGATGAAAAAGAGTATGCAGGTGTGTAAGTATATGAGATATATAGCAAGCACCTCTGTAACCTGGAAAAATACTCAGGGAGGGGGCAACCTTTAGAAGGCCTCAAAAGTCAAGTTGAGGCATTTGAATCTTATCAGGAAAGCTGAGGCTGCAACAAATGATTAATACTTTTTTTTTTAATCAGTCGTGAGGGTTGAACTTTGGGCCTGGGTGCTGTCCCTCAGCTCTTCAGCTCAAGATGAGTGCTCTACCACTTGAGCCACAGCACCACTTATGGTTTTCTGGTGGTTAGTTGGAGGTAAGAGTCTCAGGGATTGTCCTGCCCAAGCTGGCTTCGAATAGCAATCCTTAGATCTCAACCCCCTGAGTAGCTAGGATTACAGGTGTGAGCCACTAGCACCTGGCTACTATTACATTTTTTTAAGGCCTAAATCATCTCCAGTCTAAAAGACTTAGAGAAATTTCCAAAGTGCAGGCAGTAGTAGTGCCCTTTGCCTCATCCCACTTAAAGCCCAGGCAGCCAACCTATTGTAACTGAGATATCTCAAGAGTTCAATATATAAGTTTTAAGGAAATGGACCTAAAGAGGAATCCAACTACCCGGAATACTAAAATCCAGACAAGTGACTTACCTAGACTCACTCAGAGCAGGTTAAATGGGAAACGCCTGGCAGGTTCTTTAGGGTCACTCTCCCTAGCTACCTCTCCAACTAAAGAACTTTGGATGGCTGTTCAATTTGAGGTTTCCATTTGTGTAACAAATGTCCCTAAACCCTATAAACAATGTTAGTTTACTTTTTTTGGATTTGGACACTTGTTGTCTTTTTAACACCTGGATGTTAATACTAAATTAAATTAATATTTTGGGTTTGGTAGGTTTTTCACGTGTTTTTTGTTTTGTTTTGTTTTTGTCAGTCGTGGGGCCTGAACTCTGGGCCTGGGTGCTGTCCCTCAGCTCTTCAGCTCAAGGCTAGCGCTCTACCACTTGAGGCACAGCGCCACTTCCGGCTTTTTTCTCTTTGCTTATGTGGTGCTGAGGAATCGAACCCAGGGCCTCAGGCATGCAAGGCAAGCGCTCTACCACTGAGCCACCTTCCCAACCCACCCCCTCCTTTTTTTTTTTCCTGGTACAACTGTTGCCCATGAATAAAAGCATCACTCCCTATTATACGGAGAAGGCGAGTACTAGGAAGGTGTCCACACACAAATCCCACAGGGTGAAAGCGCCACAAGGATACCAGTCCATTCCTCCCAGCCAGCGCCGCTGCACTCCGACGTCACTGCGCCTGCCCGCCGGGAACGCGTCGCCGGGATGACGTCACCCAGCGGCGCCACGCCGCGCGAGCGCCATGCTGGGCTTGCTGGGAGGCCGGCTAACGCTGGGCCTGCGGGCCTCAGCGTGGGGCCGTGCCCGCTGTTTCCCGGTTCTGACGCGCGCAGCGGGAGCGCCCCAGGTTGGGGAGCGGACGGCTTCTGCCCCGCCGGAAGCTCGCGGGCGCCCTCTCAGCCTGTCGGCCGCGGCCGTGGTAAGCTCGGCGCCCCGTCCTCTGCAGCCCTACCTGCGCCTCATGAGGCTGGACAAGCCCATAGGTGAGTGCGGGGAGCCCGCGCGCGTGCGCGGCCAGGGCCCCGGGACGTGGAGGGTGGTCTGCGGGGAGCACTGGGAATGAGAGCCCGGAGGCCGGGTCTGGCCGGAACCCTGTGAGGAGTCAGCTGTGGACTGTATCGAGGTGATAACCTGAAGAACCCTGCCAGTCTTCCTGCCCTGTGAGTCGGGGGTGTTGCCCAGAGCCGGGTCGGAAATTACTCATTCCATAGTCTTCAAAACAGTCAGTCTAAGCAGAGCAATGTTTACTCCTGGACCAGCACTTGCAGAACTACTGTCATAAAGCACGTCTGTATTCGTGGTAGTTGTTGGAACATAGTGAAGTCAATTAAAATGCTGAAGAAACATTCTCCTTGTCACAGCCAGACCAGAAGAACCAAGTGTTTCAGTGCCGAGCTCTTTTCCCGCATCAGTCGTAGCACAATGATTAGTACATTTGATCGCAGCAGGTATTACTATGCTGGGCTCCCCTGACACCTCACAATCGCCACTTGAGGGAGGATTCCCCCGATCTTCCTGTTTAAATGAACACATCCCTCTAGGTCTTTATTTTGTTTTCCTTCAGAGTTGTCACCACTAACATTATGCGCTTTTAATTTCCTACGCATTTATTTATTTATGTTGGTCGTGGGACTTGAACTCAGGACCTGGGCACTGTCCCTGAGCTCTTTTGTTTAATGCTAATGGCCTATCACTTTGAGCCCAGCATCACTTCTGGTGTTCTGATGGTTAATTGGAGATGAGTCTCCCGGGTTTATCTCAGCCTTGCTCACCTTGGCTAAGCTATGGAACCAACCCAGAAGCCTTTCAGCAGATGAATGGGTCAACATATATACATACACACACACACACACACACACACACACACACACACACACACACACACACACACACACACACACACACACACACACACACACACTACACACACACATTCTATACCTCTATCAGAAAAAATGACACCACCCCATATGTTAGGAAATGGAAAGACTTGGGAAAAAATTATATTAAGCGAAGTAAGCCAGGCCCAAAGAAACATAGGTCCCATGGTTACCCTTATTTGCAATAGGTAGTATATGTCTAGGACATGCAGAAAAGTTCAAAAGCTATGTACATATGACCATATAAGATGATGCTAAGCGAAATAAATCCCAAATAGGGACACAAGAGGTTTTTCTTGCTGTTGTTTTTAATGTACTTTTACTATGTGATTTTTCATGTTTCTTTTGTATGTTCTACCCCCATTGTATAACCCCTTTTTTCACTATATTTGATTCCGGTGCCCTGCATCTTGTATATACATTTTTCTAATTTGGGGAGGGGAAGGGAAATAACAAAATGCTGAAATAAGGATATAGGTTGACCCATTGTAGCAATGAGCTGTACAAGGGCACTATGTTGAAAACAAACTTTACAGCTTGGGGTGGGAAGGGAGGAAGTGGGGAGGTGGGGAGCAAAGGGATGGTAGAGGAAAAACAGAAGAAGGGTGTAATAGTGCTGGTTAGGAAATGGACTGATTACCTTACTCATGTAACTGTAACCCCTCTATCAGTATCTCTGCAATAAAAATATATATTAATATAAAAAGCCCTCTTCCTAGCAAAAAAAAAAGTCTCACTTTCCAAATCGAGATCCTCAAATCTCAGCCTCCTTAGTCAATACAGGTGTGAACCACCAGCACCCGATCTTAAGTGCTTATTTTAATGCCATCTGCAGCACAATATAATCTACTTATACATCAGATACCTAGAACACTGCCTAGGAGTAGTGCTAAATGAATTAAATCCCTACCACATTGCCCAACCTTAGGGCTAGGAAGGAGTACACATACTTCTGTCTGGTTGGGGTGGGGAGATAGTTGGAGGCCACTGAAAGTATGAAATCAAATGAGTGGGCCAGATAGGGCTGCAGGAAAAAGTGAAATTGTGGATCTTTATTACAGGAAAAAGTGTTAAGAGGAAATTGTACTTCAAAATGGTAGGATTTAATAGAAAAGCAGGCAGTCAGGAAATTGAAACCGTTATTACTTACAGATGGCAGAATAACCTGATACTCCAAAACTTGCTTGACCAGGAAATGAAAGTGGAGGGCTACAAAAGGAGGAAGTAAAACCTGTTAAGTATATTTTCTTGGCTCTACCTTCTAAATGCTCAGATTACCAATGTGTGCTGTCAGGCACTGAAAGGCTTTGTTTTTAATACATTCTAAGTTTATACATTGTGTATTTAGGATTAGAGCACTGCAAATCATAACAATTGGAAATTAAAGTATAAAATCCTATTGAATGTGATATATATATATGTATATATATATATATGTATATATACATATATATATCTATTATTGGGATGCTGTGTTTGACCCCCTATATATTGGGGTCAGATTCAGATCAACAAGCCTAAATTTAAAAGTTGGCTATAATTCTATTCTTGGTTACTGCATCCAGAAACACACAGATAGCTTACAGACATCCAAGAGATAACAGCTGCCACTATTTTCCATTTGCATAGTTAAACCTCTGGTGTCTCTTTTGGTGTCTGTACATTTTGCCATGCAACAGGATGAAAGGGATTATGAGTGAAGTTCTGGAACTAGACCTCTTGGATTTGAGTTTTCACTCATTTGAATGATTGTGGCTAAATAACTTAACCTTCCTTTTCATTGTTTTAATCTGTAAAATGCAGATACTAAATACTGACTTTATTCGTTATAATAAAGATTCATTAACATTATTTGAACAGTCTGACATACAAAAAGGACTTAAAATTGTCATTTTTACTTGAGAAGTAAGGATTAGAAAGTTGCATTTATGGTTATATAAAGTCTATGTAATTTATCTCTAAAGATGATTGCAGAGTTTTTCAGAAAATGTAGAATTGGTTTAACAAGTGAATTTGTTTTGAACATTCGTGGAATTTCTGGATTTATATTTCTTTAAATTCTTTTCATGCCATTTTATGTTTATTATTTTACTTCATTGAGTTATATCTTGTTACTTTCATAGATTGATAGTAGGCTTTGCTATTCCTAAAAAGGTGTTATAACTTCTTTGAAATGGGTTAGTCAACCTATACTATTTCAAGAAGTTTCACCAGGGGGCACTCTATCCATTAAACTGGGAGTATAGTTTTGTAGTTACTGGTGATTATGTTGTCTTAAAGAAATTCTGCCATTAGTCTTAGACTCAGTTTACACAAACACTGTTTTCTGCTCATCATATTTCATAATTATTACATCTCTAGATAGTTTTTACTTTTTTATGGTAAATATTTGTTTCTGCTATGTATTTGTCTCATTCTGTAGCAACATATAAAAGAGCATGAGGAATGAAAATATCACAAGAAAGAAAATGTGGGGCTGGGAAGGTGGCTCGGTGGTAGAGCACTTGCCTTGCATGCATGAGGCCCTGGGTTCGATTCCTCAGGACCACATAAGCAGAAAAAAAAAGCCAGAAGTGGAGCTGTGGCTCAGGTTGGTAGAGTGCTAGCCTTGAGCTAAAGAGCTGAGGGACAGCACCCAGGCCCAGAGTTCAGGCCCCACGACCGGACCCCCCCCCCCAAAAAAAAAAAAGAAAGAAAGAAAATGTGTTGCTGGAAATCAGTAGGGGGCAAAAAGTAGAACCTAACTGTATATAGAGATTTGGGTATAAAAAATGATAACTTTATGGGCTGGGAAGGTGGCTCAGTGGTAGATCACTTGCCTTGCATGCATGAGGCCCTGGGTTCGATTCGTCAGCACCACATAAGCAAAAAGAAAAAAAACTGGAAGTGGCAGAGATAACTTTGGACTTAAGTTATGGACTACCACCAGGTTACTTCAGTCGGAATTCCTCCTTGGTCACCGGTTATCTATGTGGCCTCAGATGAATTCCTCTGTGCTCAGCTGTTATATTTATGAAGTTGGTCTGATGAGAATAGCTGCTGCCTTAGAGATTTGTTGTAAGAATCAAACATGTTCTGTAAAGATCCTGTGCCCATAGTAGCTGGTCTCTATCTGTTACTCTTATAACCATTATTGTTAATATGGTCATCTTATTACAACCCTTTGAGGCAAATGTTCTTTTTCCTTCATTTACAGATGAAACCAAGATTTACATCTTGAGATACTTTAGTGTCTAGTATCACTCAGCTTATAAGTGGCAGACATAGAATTAGGAAGTCTGTGTGACTTTCCCCTTTTCTGTAGAAATCTTCCTACAAATTCATATCAGTAAGTGTACATAATACTTAAAATATAGGCTTGTGATAGAAATAGATGGACAAAGGGTGGGTGAACAAATGCAGCAGTGGTATTCACTAGACACTATGTTGAAAATCAACTGTACAACTTCTGGGTGAGGACAGGAGGGAAAAACTGGGAGAGAATGAGGGAAGGTATGAGTGACATTGTCCAAAAAGAAATGAACTCTTTACCTGATTTATGTAATTGTAACACCTCTATATATCACCTTTGTAATAACAATTTTTAAGATATATTTTATATGTGAATATTACATATTTTAATATATTTATATATTATATACGTGTGTGTATAGAGAGAGAGATATAGATATTTATGTTTGTAGCCAAAAACATTTTGCTTCTGGGACAATTTGCTATAGGTGGTTACATACCCTGCTCTAAAATTTTTTTTCTTTTTTATCAACCCTTTATTTCTAGTTCCACCAAGCAATTATATACCTAAAGTGTCATTCTTTCCTCGCTAGCTCAGAACAGTATCAGGTACTCCTCTGTCCCTGAGGAACTCTACTGGTAGCTCCAGCATAAAGGAAATGGTCAATAGTATTATTTAATGTAACCTCTCCGATTATCTCTTTCTCACCTCTGAGTTGGAGATCTTCATAGTACTTTTTTCCTAAAGATAGTGTTGAGGATTAGACAAGTTTGTACATTATAAAGTATTTAAAATACTGCATGATATCTCATGAACATTTAATAAATGTTAGCTAGTCTTGTTTTAAATGGGCATATTGAAGATGAATCTGTTCAGGAATAGCTGATTTCAAGTACTGGACTGGTGATTTCTCAAGGATTTTTCTTGGGGCTTCTCTAACCTTTTCTGCTGTGTGAATTTAAGCTCTAATTGGAAAAACCTCTAATTCTTCTTTTTTAAAAAAATTTTTATTGTTATCATAAAGGTAATGTACAGAGGGATTACAGCTACATAAGTCAGGTAAAGAGTACTCCCTCATTCTTCTTTATCTCCTTTCCAAATAACTTGGCATGGTTAGGTCTTATGTCTTTGATAGCACCTTGTTTTTGTCCTGTTGGATTGACCTTTTATTATTGCTTAACTATTCCTTACTTTTTATTTATAAGCTGCAAGAAAGCAAAAACCAGCTCTCAGTTGCCATTATATTTCCAGTGCCTAGCACAGTACTGGCACAGATTATGTACTTCATAAATATTTGAACATAAATCAAGCTTAAACTTGATTATAGACTTTAGCCATTTTAACATTTTTATGCAGAATTTGATCTTTATATGCAAATCCCTTTTCTCTATCCCTAAGTAAGGAAGTAAAACAACTTATCTAATACTCTTCACCAATAAACTTTGAAACACTTGCTTTTTGGTAGGATTGGTAGGATGTAAAATCTTTCATTTATATTTGCTTTTAGCTTCATGAGATAGTTTATGGGTTAAGAATTAAGAACTAGGCAGAGTATGGTGCCTCCTGCTTATAATCCTAAACACTTAATAGATAGATATCAGAAAGATCAAAATTCGAGGCCAGCCTAGAGTAGAAAAGTTAATAAAACCCTATTAGCAATAAACAGGGCATAGTAGTATCTACAATCCCAGTTGTGTGGGGCAGATGAGATAGAACAATTATGGCTCAGGGCAGAGTCTATTTGAGAAATAACTAAAGCACAAACGGCTAGGCAGCAAGGCTTAAATGGTAAGTGCTGCTTAGAAAGTATGGCTCAAAGCCCACACACAAATTAAGAACTAATTTATTTGTGTATGTAGCTATAAACTATTCACTATGACATTCACTCTTTCTCAAAGCCATCTCAAGCATATTAACAACAGAAAAGGTTTTTACTAACTTAAATGTGTACATACAACAGAAAATTCAGAGAGTGCTGGAGTAGTGTGTTCTCCCACATTCCCTTCTCAGAAGCAGCTATTATCAGTTACAATATGACTTTTCTGAAATGTGTCAGTGTATGAACATACTAACATTCAAATAATACATATTTGTTACATGTATATGCATATGCAGCATAATTTTTAAGTTGTCTTCTATAAAGCAGAAGGCTATTTTATAGCGTCATCTAAAAATACATGAGACTATCTAATTTCCCAGGGACTTTGAGTTTTGCCAGTCTACTAAGTGAAAGATGTTCTTATGAGAATATTCTTTTAATGAGTATTTTTCAAAGCTGAATATCACTTTGTATGTATGAGCCATTTACTTGTATGTCTTTTTCTATGAACTTTTATTGTGTCTTTTGTCCATTTTTTTTATTGGACTACTGTTCTTTTCTTTGTTTCTGGTTTCTTTGCATGTTAGGGAAAACTAATACAAGTTGCAAATTTATTTTCCCAGGTTTGTTGGGTGTTTTTTTGTTTGTTTGTTTGTTTTTACTTACAGTCTTTTTCTTTGGAGCATGTAATTAAACAATGAAGATTATTTAAAACTGACTTGAATTTGTACCTTTTTGTCTTTTTACTTTTGTTTAGGGACCTGGCTACTGTATTTGCCATGTACCTGGAGCATTGGTTTGGCAGCTGAGCCAGGTTGTTTTCCAGACTGGTACATGTTATCCCTCTTTGGCACTGGAGCTATCCTGATGCGTGGAGCAGGCTGTACTATTAATGACATGTGGGACCGTGACTACGATAAAAAGGTAGTTTCCTCCTGGAAAGGTACAGAGAAGCTCCTTTTAGTTTTACAGGGTAACTTGATGGCATTACTTTCAAATGCCTCGTAAAGCAACCAAGCAGGTCCTTTGGTTATCTTACCTAGAATGCAATATATGGTCTAGAATCAGATGTATAGCACAGTTTACTTCCTTTCTCCATCCAAGAAGGGCCATAGGGCAAGGTGTGTACTTTATTTTTACAAAGTAAATTAAGAAATTGAGAGCTAAGGATAAAGGAGTTGTAAAAGCTTAGAGTGAAAGTTAACTCTCACTGAATGTTTTTAGTGAAAAGTTTTTCTGGGGCTTGAACTTAGGGCCTCATGTTCTCACACGGCTTTTTGGCTTACAGCTGGTGCCTCTACCACTTGAGCTACATCTCAAGTTCTATTAGTTTTTGCTAGTTAATTGGAAATAAGACTCTGGAAGAATTTTCGGCTCAGGCTAGCTTTGAACCATAATTCTTGTATTTCAGTCTCCTAAGTACCTAGGATTATAGGTGAGAGCCAGGAACATCTGGCTTTCACTGTGTGTGTGTGTGTGTGTGTGTGTGTGTGTGTGTGTGTGTGTGTGTGTGTGTGTGTGTGTGTGTGTGTGTGTGTGTGTGTGTGTGTGTGTGTGTGTGTGTGTCAGTCAGTCAGTCGTGGGGCTTGAACTAAGGACCCAGGTGCTGTCCCTGAGCTTTTTTGCTCAAGGCTAACACTCCATACCACTTGAGCTATAGCTCCATTTAAGTGTCCAAAAGATAATACCATCCCTTCCTATGAGATGTATTTTTGAGCCCCAACTATTCCTATGTAAATCAATTCTTAATTGATTAATCTTAATTTAAATAAACCTTTTAGTATTGGCTATATAGGAATCCCTCCTTGAGCCTGTTTCTTTTAAACTTTTCATTACCCACAATCCAAATGGAAAGTTACAGGAATAAACCAATATAAATTTTAAGCAACTTTCTGAGAATATGAAACCTCTTTTATTTAAAAAAAATTATGATAATTATATTATTGACTTTTAGTTAATTTTTACTGGGCCTAATATAAATTAGACATTAATAAATTAAATATTACCACATATGTATAGGAAAAATGATAGTTTACTTGGAGCTCAGTACTCCTTGTGTTTTCAGGCATCCATTGGGATTCTTAGAATGTATCCTTCATGGTAAAGAGGAACTACTGTGATTATTGTTAGAAAAGTAATAGATGCTTATTTTAAGCACTGCACGGAAATGCAAAGGATAGAAAGTGCAAGTCTTCCCTCCTCCCCAAGCTTCCAGAGAAAACTGCAGCTAACAATTTGTGGCATTGTATGCCTCTAGATTATTTGCTATGCATATTTTAGTACCTTTGTTTAGTTATTTCCTCTTCAACAGACCATATTTTCTCAAGGGAAGGGCCCAGTTATTTTATCCTAGCAGGTATGCCCTGATTACATGACCATTCAGTGCCTGAGAAAATAATCAGGTAAACTTTTAGTTGAAAAGAAATCCATAGTAAATACATAAACATATCAGAAAAGTGAGCACCCCTAGTTACCTTTCATAAAATCTGAATTTTCCTTAAGGCTTACTTACGATGTTTATTTATCAAAAATGTCACATTAATATAGCTTATTTCTTGAGTACTTGCTGTATGGAAAACTAAGATTCTAGAGTTACATGAAGAGCATGCCTGATCAAAGGCATTAGTGTTACAATACAGTGAACATGCCTGATCCTAGGCTTTAGTGTTAAAATAAAGTGGCAGTGTCATGAGAATAGTATACACCAGGGAACCTAAGGGAGAGGACTTTCAAGCTTGGGAGAGAATGAGCTTTGAACTCCATCAAAGCAAACTGGCCAAATAGAGAAGGTTAAGGGAGTAAAGGTTACTTTAGACAGAGGAACAGCAGGTACGGAGGTGTGACTGAGATATTGTGTTAGCTAACTGCAACTGCATGTATGGCTAGAGGGTAGGACGTAGCGAAAAAGTGGCCTGAGCCAGACAGTAAAGCATCTCTATACCATACCAACATAGTTGGGATGCCTCTATTTGTGCCAGCAAATGTACACTTTCTTCATTTGAAGGTCAGCTTTTCATTCTGTATATCATGTGAAGGAGAATTCAGAATAATTCTTGAACATGTTTAGAGTAGTTTATCAATCCCTTTTTTAAAAAAAAATGCTAGCTCAATATAGGCTAGAAAATGAAAAATATTTTCTATAAATTAGTATTAATTGCGAGAAAATGATCCGTGTAGACAAGTGGGAATATTTTTTCAAAAAGCAGTTTGTTCTCAGGAACCTAGAAAAGCTAAGACTTGGGGCTGGGAAGGTGGCTCAGTGGTAGAGTGCTTGCCTTGCATGCATGAGGCCCTGGGTTCCATTCCTCAGCACCACATAAGCAAAAAAAAAAAGGCCGGAAGTGGCGCTGTGGCTCAAGTGGTAGAGTGCTAGCCTTGAGCTGAAGAGCCGAGGGACAGCGCCCAGGCCCAGAGTTCAGGCCCCACGACCGGACCCAAAAAAAAAAAACAGAAAAAAGAAAAGCTAAGACTTATATGACCTTGGTTATGGGGGATTTTAAGATGAAATGCAAAATTGTAACTTCAGAATTATGTTATTGTGTTCTTCAGACTATATTATCTCCTAGTTATTTAGATTTTGACTTCTGTCTGCTGTAAGATAGAATAGACATATTTTTCCCTATTCTTTCCACTAAGTACAATTAAAGTTCATATATATATATATATATATATATATATATATATATACCTATATATGTATGTATATATTACAAAGACCAGAGAAAAGATAATTGTCTAGGAACTTAAGTACCCCAACAACTTGGTGGTGAAGTTTCTAGATTTTTTCCTTGTGTGAGCTAGTCTTAGAACTAAAGAACAGCACCGTGGTAACCTCAATGGGTACAAACCAAAAGATAGCCCCAACAAATGACTATTATAATTTTACCTGGTAATTATTCTGCAATATCCCCAGCCTCTTCCTCTGCCAGGAGCCAGCTAAAACAGGTTTAAATGAGATCCATAGTCTTGTAATACCCAAAATTTCTAAGCTTTGATTAAAAGTCATGTATCATACCAAGAACTAGAAAAGTCACTAAAGGAATGGTCAAGATGGCAGAGGTGTTATCTGACAAAGATTTTAAAACCAATAATCACAACTCAGCATTGCTGGCACATCCCATAATTCTAGCTACTCAGGAGACAGAGGTCCAGATGATTGCTGTTAAAAATTCAGGCCTGGCAGAAAAGTCTGTAGTACTCCATCTCCAAAAGAACTGGCAAAAACTGAGCTAGAGGCCTGGCTCAAATAGTAGAACACCAGCCAAGAAAGCAAGCCAAGCAAATGTGAAGTCCTAAGTTCAAACTAGTACCATGAAAAAAAAAACAACAAGCAATTATCTTAAGTATGCTTCAGTGAGTAGTAAAACGTGAATGGAAAAGTAGAGAATGTGCAATAAAAACTCACTGGGTAGGCTCAACAGCAGAATGAAGTGGTCAGAGGAAGAAGCAGTAAAGTGGAGATAGAAAAAAAGAAATACATGATGTAGTGGTGCACACCTCTAATCCCAGCTACTCAGGGTATGTGGGGAGCAGGATCACAAGTTTGTTGGTTTTTTGTTGTTGTTATTGGTCGTGGGGCCTGAACTGAGAGCCTGAGCACTGAGGTTTTTTCACTCAAGGCTAGTGCTGTACCACTTTGAGCCACAGCACCACTTCCAGTTGGTAGTCAGTTGAAGCCAAGAGTCTTATGGACTTTCCTGTCTGGGCTGGCTTCAAACCAGTCTTTAAAATTTAGCCTTCTGAGGGGTGGGAAGGTGGGTCAGTGGTAGAGCACTAGCCTTGCATGCAGAGGCCGTGGGTTCGATTCCTCAGCACCACATAAGCAGAAAATAAAAGCCGGAAGTGGCACTGTAGCTCAAGTGGTAGAGTGCTAGCCTTGAGCTGAAGAGCTGAGGGACAGCGCCCAGGCCCAGAGTTCCGGCCCCACAACTGGACCCCAAAAAAAAAAAAAAAATTAGCCTTCTGAGTGTAGGATTACAGGTGTGAGCCACTGGTACCCAGCATTCAAGAAGGAAAAAAACCTCCAAACATGATAAAGAAATCATATATCTTGATATATCATAAACTTCTGAAAACTAAAGAAAAATGTCAAACACAAGCAGCAGGACAGAAATACTAAAAGCATAACCCATAAAGAAATGTTGCTAAATTAGACTTCATCAAAACAAACTGGAGCTGGAAAGACTCTTAAGAGGATTAAAAGACAAACTATACACTAGGAGAAAATAAAGAACCCTTAAAACTAAAGAAATAAATCTTACTAGAATATGGATAATGATAAAGAATATACACAAATTACAAACAACACATAAAATATGTTTCCCATGCTTGACTTTTCTGTAAAGAACCAAAAGGGAGAGGATTTAGGATTTAGATCCACCCTAATACCACTTTTCTCAGACTAAAACAGTCCAGATTATGTGTTGTTATGCTACAAAAATACACTCTCCTACCTATTGAGGGGGGTTGCTAATTTGAATTCTTTCATATCTTATTTCTTTTAAAGGATGAGTTAGGTTTGGCCTAGTTATAATGCTTACTTGATTTTGTTAGGCAATAAATTTATTATGAAAGACATGTTTATATCCCAGGATTTTATGCAGCATACTGCATTTGAGTCAATTGTTAATATAGTCATTTGCTATTAGGGCACATAAGTTAAGTGCATTTGTCAATGTTGTATTAATAATTTACCAGTCAGGTGATTATATGACAAACAGGTTAGAAACTTTGAAATAACCTGACTTATGGAATTGTAACTCCTTTGTACAACCACATACTAATGATTATTTTTAAATTAAGAACTTTGAAATAATGTGAAGTCAGGTATTAATGATATACTCTCATAAACTATGATTGCTCTGGTTTCATAGGATATATTTTGATCCTCATGTTACTTCATTTTTATTCTTCTTGGAGTACTTGTTAATCTGCAGCTTTCCAATTTACTAGATAATTCTGTATTGATGAGGCAATGTAATCTAGTAAGACTGGCCTGGCTTTGCTTCCTCAAAACATCTGTGGACACTTACCAAGACTGCTGTGGTTTCAGTAGAAATTATAAGAACTTGTAAACGGTTGAGTGCGACGGACCAGCTCGGCCGGAGCACTGGGACCGATGGGACAGGGATCTCGGGATAGATGGGCAAGGAGTTGGCGAAGTGACAGACACAGACTCAAAAGAGTTGCACCTGAGTGTATCTTTATTGAGAAGAATTAACATTTTTATACAGTGTGCAATTGTGACATAGATCCTTTGTTTATTTAAGCACGTAATCAATTTTTAAGAAAAGCAAAGCATTGATGGATTACATGAAAATTGATGACTATCCTACCAACTGTTTAAGCTAAGTGGTGCGAAACAAGTCTAGCATATAGTTTAATAGAATGCATCATCTATTCAGTCTTTTTATGTTTAATAATTAACAAACCTAAGACAGGGCTGTACTTATAATGTACTCTTTTTATTTTTTCCGTATATTTTCAAGTCCCTTTGAAACCATCCTAAAAACCACTTCCAGGTTGAGTCAGGCATTCTCCATTTTCTGTAATTTTAATCCCAATATTTGTTCACATAAATTTTTTAATTGTTATTTTAAACTATCTTATTGTTGTTTTGATAATAAACACCATAATGATCTAGATCTACCTAATCTTTGCATAAAATCTAATGAGTTCCAAAATACCCTTTTTCCTTTTATATTAATTTATCTATTTTTATCTTTATAAGCTCCTGTATAAGGCAATGGTTCATCGGTCGGTTCAGGAAATGTGATGTCACTAACTTTATATTTTGTGGGAAACCACCATTTATTCCCTATAACATAAGCAGGACTAAACTTAACTGTTAGGGAATCTTTCTTTTACTTTTATTATCAGGGGTCCCTTTTTCTAGAACTCTGAGCTTTTGGGATAACTCCTTCTAGCTTAGTTTAATTCATTAATTCTGCCTGTTGTAACATATCTGGAAATTTTAAGTTTCTGTATTTACAAAACCGTTTGTAAAGTTGTAGGAGTTTCTGGAGACAGCGTCACATCAGATGATAGATTGATTGGGGCATTGCCCACATTTAATCTATAGTCCTAGTCTTTATTATTCAGAGAAGCTGTCTCTATTGGACTGGAAAAAAACAACATGCTCTGTTCACGGATCAATAGAAAAATAGCCAAACGAAAATAAAGGAAACATGTACAGCCAAGAAAAATATAGTAAGAATAAAGGTAGAGGCTATAAAGGTGTAGCCAAGTGTATGGAAAGCCTTAAACCAACACCCCCTTCCTTCAGGCATGCTTCCTTGAAGCTCTTTATCTAACGCAATCTCTCACGCATACTCCACAGGAGTTGGCATGGCAGTTGAGGTTTCAGGAAAATTTCTCAATTGTAACTACTAGAATAATGGTATTACCTGGAAACAAATATAATGTAAGTTCTATTTCCAATTTGAAGTTTCAGGAACTAAGTCAGGTAAAAATCGAGTACTGTTACTCTCAGTAGGATCAGTCATTGCTCATAGTTTTTTTTGTGTGTGTGTATGTATTTTTCCTTTTTTTTCTTTCACTTTTTTCCATTGTCAAGATGATATTCAGAGGGGTTACAGTTACATAAGTAAGGTAATAAGTACATTTCTTGTCAAACTTGTTTTTACTTCCCTCATTTTTCTCCGACTTTTCCTCCCCGCTATCCCCAAGTTGTGCAGATCATTTCTAACATATTGTCTTGTGTATATCGCTGTTGCATTGGTTCCCCCCTTGTCCTTTGTCTCTTTTTTCTCCCAGTCCTGGGACTTGAACTCAGGGGATCTGGGTACTGTCCCTGAGCTTCTTTTCTTTTGCTCAAGGCTAACACCCTATCACTTGAGCCACAGCGCCACTTCTGTTTATGTGGTTCTAAGGAATGGAACCCAGGGCTTCATGCATGCTAGGCAAGCACTCTACCACTAAGCCACATTCCCAGTCCCTCAGCAAACACTTTCTATAAATGATCAGCTGACAAATATTTTAGGCTTTGTAATCTATATCATCTTTGTTACAATTAATAAATTCTTTGAGTGTCACAACAGGTATAGACAGTATGGAAAAATATGAACATGGCTATGTTCCTTGATAAACCTATTTATGGACACCAAAAGTTGAATTTCATATTATTTTCTTATGTTATTCTTTTCAAAGAAAATATCATTTAAAAAGTGTCTTAAAACCACTCTTAACTCATCAGCTATACCAAGAAATGGGCAGAAGGCTAGGTTTGTTCCACAGGCTATATTTGTAACTTTTTATATCAATCATATAAAAACATGTTATCTTAGTGATATATAACAATTACTGCATATTTTTTATGCCTCAGGCAGTATATTTGCCCTATAAAATAGGTCTTCTTATTCCTTTTTCTTCAGTTTTTTCTCTAACAGGAAAATAACCTAAGACTAGGAGAGGTTCAATAATTTACCAAAATTTATCTATCCAGGAAATGATGGAATTGGATCAAATGCTGCAAATCCTGAATTATGTTCAAAATATGGGTTGTGTTCTTTATTTGTGGTTGAATTTAGGATAATCACTTTTCATGAAGGAAAACTGCAGCTAGTGCATATGATCTAGACAGATCACTTGCTCTGTCCACATTCTTACATGAATTTACCTGGTTAGCATAGATCCATTCTTAAGTAAATTTACAAAAGCCCTCCAACTGAAAACCCAGGTCTGTCTGTCTTCTTTCTTCAGGTCTGCTTTCTAGTTTAATGCTTCCACTTCCCATGCTAAAACATTTATGTGATATTTGCTTTATCCAAAATCTTTTTCTCTCCTAAGAATTCTCACTGTTATTATACCTCGTTTCTCCATGGAAATTTTTTTTGCCAGGGCTTCAACTCAGGGCCTGAGTGCTGTCCCTTAGCTTTTTTTTCTCACAGCTAGCCTTCAACCACTTGAGCCACAGCTCACTTTTTGGAATTTTGTTATAGATTTTAAAAAAAAAAGTCTCAAGGATTTTCTGCCTGAGCTAGCTTCAAACTACAATCCTCAGATCTCAGCCTCCTGAGTAGCTAGGATTACAGGTGTAAGCCTACTTGAACATAATTATTTCTAACCTAGAATCTGTTTTGTTTTAAGGTAGGAATGAGCAGTCAAAAGAGAATGAGTAGTGGGAATAGTTAGCACTTTCTAAAACTATTTTAAATATGCAATTTGATTTCTTGGAAGTATTTCTTTTTCTTTATTGTGAAAATACTGTACAGAGGAGTTACAATTACATGGACAAGATATTGAGTACATTTCTTATCAAGCATTGTAGCCTCCTCCTTTGTTTACCTTTCCCATCCCTTCCCAGCCTCACCCCACTCCCCCACCCAATCCCCCCCCCCATCACTAAAGTTGTAAAGTTCATTTTCGACATGACAACTTGTACTTCTCATTGTTGCAACGGGTCCACCTGTATCCTTATTTAAATTACTTGTTTTTCCCCTTCCCCCACAAATTATACTGACATCAAATACAGTGAAAGCAAGGGTTATACTGTGGGGGAGGGACATACAAAGCAACAAAGAAATAATCTTATAAATGCATTAGAAACAAATGCATGAAAGAAAAAAACATTTAAATACATATCTTAGGGTTAATTTTCCTAACTTCACCTTATCTGACCTTTTCTCCTTGACTCTGACATATACTAGATATTGCAAATAAGGGAAACCATGGGACCTGTTTCTTTGGGCTTGGCTTACTTCACTTCATATGATTTTTTTCTTGGAAGTATTTCAAATGTTGATTTTACTCTGTTCACATTTGTGCCTTAGTTCCTACCATGGTCCAGTCTCTTTAACTTAAGTGTTTAAATAACGGATTAGTCATTATGTGAGACTAAGGTATTCTTTTCCTGTGTGAAGGTTACAAGAACAGCAAATCGTCCTATAGCTGCTGGAGACATTTCAACTTTCCAGTCCTTTGTTTTTCTTGGAGGACAGCTGAGCTTGGCACTGGGTGTTCTTCTGTGTCTGAATTACTACAGGTATCTTTGGAATTACTACAGGTTTATTCAATGTGTTCTTCACAATTGTATGTAAAAATTGCTCCTTTAAAATAGAGAAATAGAATAAAGTAGAAATATTTATGCTGAGCCAGTGTTTATGGAAGCATTTTTACGTTCGTAAACATAAAAAAAGATTTTACAATTGGTGATGAATTACTGTTTTTATGTTTACTAACATAGTAAAATCTTCTTCAAGAATACTTTCAGCAAAAGGAGTTAAGAAATCAGCATTAATTTATTATGAATTACCTTCAGTATTTGTATTGTATATTCCCTATAGGACACAAGGTACTTTCATACACCCCCCTGTCTTTCTGTGATTTTATATATACTGAAAGTTCTGTCTGAAGTATATGAAAGTAGAAGTGACTATACTCATTTTGCAGAAGCAGAACTGTCTTTTCTAGGACCATACCACTAATCCAAATGACAAGGAAAAAGTGAGAGGCTTGCTCTAGTATTTTGTAGACAGACACACAGTTATATTTTTGTGCATTAGATGGCAGCTTACAAAGTGTTTCAGAGAGGGAGTAAAATTTTTAAAAGGAGGGGAGGGTGCCAGCAGATAGGCATGATTTTGTAGAGAGTAGGCTTTATTGTATGCATGCCTTGCCTTGATAGCATCAATTACAAGAAAACCCCCTTGGAAGATTATTCTTGGAGGGAGTGGAGTTAGATGAATTTGGTTTTAGATACCTAACAATATCTTATGTTTACATAGTTACTTTCCTTTCCGTGAAAAGTAACACCTCCTTCTAAATATAAGGAGGAACTAATGAATTCTCTATTAGGATTTTACAGTTTATTAGACACCATATGGTTCAAAAACAGTTTAGAGGTATTAATATATTTTGGATAATAGGCTGTGCTCTGATTACTTTGAGAACTGGGGATGTAGCTCAGTGTAAGAGTGTTTGCTTAGCATTCTCAATTAAAATTCTAATTATTCAGAAGGCTGAGATCTGAGGATAGAGGTTCACAGCCAGCCCAGGCAGGAAAGTCCTTGATACTCTTATCTCTAATTAACCACCAAAAAGCCAGAAGTGGAGCTATTGCCCAAGTAGTAGAGTGCTTACCTGGAGTTGAAAAGGTTAGGGCCCTTGTTTCAAGCCCCAGGACCAAGCATACACAAAAGACTCTTTTTATGCTTCATTTTCCTCATGTACAGAATGATCCCTTCTAGGATCATTATTTACATTGGAACAAGTTGACAATGTAAAATATTCCCAATTGAACCTGGTAAGTCAGACATGGGGGCTTATGCCTATACTGCTAGTCCTTGGAAGGTAGAGCAGGAAGCTCATGAGTTCATGGACAGCCTGGGTTACTTAGTGATGTCAACACTAACTTGGGCTACATAGTGAGATCCTATTTAAAAAGCAAAAAATATTTCCTAATATGAAAGTGCAGTATATGTTAGCTATTATTTCATTTGTCAGTTAACTTAAAACGTTTTTCTAATCATTCTTTTTAATAGGAAAAGTCAAAGTCTAGGAAGAGAATTTTATATAACAAAATACTACTTAAAAGGAAAATATCCTCCAGTTAGCATACTCATGTTCAAATAGTGATTTTCTGCATGATGGTAAGGTTGATGCAGTGTTTCTCTGTTTTCAGTATAGCTCTGGGAGCAGCATCCTTACTTCTCGTCATCACTTACCCACTAATGAAAAGAATCACATACTGGCCTCAGTTAGCCTTGGGTAAGCTGCAAATAGCTAAGTGTTTCTTTTGATACTCTCTAACCCTATTCCTCCTATATATTATATGTATATAGATAGAAATGCAATCGCAGGTCAGTCGGAAATTTCCTGAGCCAGGAATAAATTGACATATTTTTAAGGAGGGCAGTTAGTTACTGTTATTAGTAAAGAAATCTTATGTGGGCTGGGAAGGTGGCTCAGTGGTAGAGCGCTTGCCTTGCATGCCTGAGGCCCTGGGTTCGATTCCTCAGCACCACATGAGCAAAAAAGAAAAAAGCCGGAAGTGGCACTGTGGCTCAAGTGGTAGAGCGCTAGCCTTGAGCTGAAGAGCTGAGGGACAGCGCCCAGGCCCAGAGTTCAGGTCCCACGACCGGACCCCGCAAAAAAAAAAAAGAAATCTTACGTATTTATTGATTATTGTCATCATTATTACTATTTTCTGAAATGCTTTTTAAAACACTAGACATGTCATAAAGAGATGGTTGATCTAGGTATTGTAAAGAATTTGGGCAGGAGAAAAGCAAGGGTTAAAAGTGTATGTGATAGTTTAGTCCCTCATCTATAAAGTCATTCTTCAACTTGTCTGGAAGACATGAGTCTTTGAGTTTCCACAGCGCTCCAGTGCTTACATTCTTACCCATTTCAGTAACATTAATTCAACAAATAGTGACAGCCACCATTTCCTCCTCTTAATAAATTGTAAATAAAAATAAATTGTAAATAAAAAGTAATTCTTTATCTTTGACCTAGTATCTTAACATATGCAGCTTTTTGATGTTATTTGTTGGTTAAGAGGGGCAAGTAGGTGGGTAAATCAAACTACTGCAAAAACAAAAAAAGCCCAGATTTTTGTGTCCTATATCTAGAATACTCTATTCTGTTCCTAGAGTAGTCCTAGTTCTTTGAATCATTTTTCCAGTAAATAAAAGACCCAAAAGATGTTCTAAAAAAATTGTTGAGAGCCTAACTTAATGGGAAAGCTCTGATGAAATATATATATTTATCTTTTTCTAAGTTCCTATTTCTTTTCTGTCTCTGCACTTTTCATTATTAAAATAAAGTTTTAGAAGTACATTCACGGATGAACCTAGGAATCTTTAATAGAGGGAGCATAAGCAATTCCTCGCTTTAACAGTATTTTGAAGGCTGGCACCTTTACTTTAGACATTTATTGATGAGTTACAGAAGGTACTTGAAAATTAAAGATGACTAAAACCCAGTCTCATTTTAAAGAGCCAGAAGAGACAGCAGATAAGCAGGTCATTGAGTACAGTGTGGTATTAAGGAATACAGTAGGTGTGGAAGAAGGGTATTCTTATTAGAAATAGGCAATGTACGAGGGGAAAGAGCCAGGCACTGATGGCTCACACAAGTAATCCTAGCTACTCAGGAGACTGAGATTGAGAATTAAAGCTGTCCTAGGTACACAAATCTAAGAGACTCTTATCTCCAATTAACCAGCAAAAAGCCAGAAGTGGAGGTATGGCACAAGCCAACCCAGAGAGTGGGACCCTGAGAACTATCAGCTAATTAATTACTAATTAAACTCTGTTATCCTGTTTTCTTTTTTGTAAAGTGAAGGAACATGGACAATATCATACCGAGCCTACTATACAGCAAGTACTTAATACATGCTGACTTCCCTCTCCTTCCCTGTGGAATACTGAAGTACATTTTTTTTGGGGGGGGGGAGAAGGGGGTCCAGTCGTGGGGCCTGAACTCTGGGCCTGGGTGCTGTCACTCAGCTCCTTCAGCTCAAGGCTAGCGCTCTACCACTTGAGCCACAGTGCCACTTCTGACTTTTTTCTTTTTGCTTATGTGGTGCTGAGGAATCGAACCCAGGGCCTCATGCATGCAAGGCAAACGCTCTACCACTGAGCCACCTTCCCAGCCCCTGAAGTACATTTTGACCTTACCCCTCTTTTTGTTTTGTCAATTGTAGGGTTAACTTTTAATTGGGGAGCATTGCTTGGATGGTCTGCTATCAAGGGTTCCTGTGATCCATCTGTGTGCTTGCCTCTTTACTTTTCTGGAGTTATGTGGACACTGATATATGATACCATCTATGCCCATCAGGTAAAGAAGTTGTGTTTTTCTTTTTTAATTAATTTTTTTATTGTTATTATAAAGGTTATGTACAAAGGGGTTTCCATCTCATAAGTCAGGTAATGAGGACGTTTCTTTTTGGACAGTATTACCCCCTCCTTCACCTTCTTTCAGTTTTAGGTATTGTTTTCTAAACACTTAAAATAAGTACCAAATTAAGGGCAGTTGGGTTTTTTTGGTGTGTGTGGGTTTTTTTGTGTTACTGGTTTTTTGTTTTGGGGTTTTTTGGGGTTTTTTTTGCCAGTCTGGGCTTGAAGTCAGGATCTGGACACTATACCTGAGCTTCTTTTGTTCAAGGCTAGCACTCTACCACTTGAGCCACAGAGCCACTTCCAACCTTTTCTGTTTATGTGGTACTGAGGAATCGAACTTCATGCATGCTAGGAAAGCACTGTACCACTAAGCCACATTCCTAGCCCTGGAAATTTTTTCTTAATCTTAAGAAGAACAATATTTGTTTTATGTTTTATATGTGTTTACCAAAAAGCCAAAATTGGCTTATGACTTACACTTATGCTTTTTTACAGTTTTATTTTGTTTTATTTATAGGTATTTAAATGCTTTTTACTTTATGGCAAGCACTGTTTCAAATATTTTAGCAATATAAATTTAATCTCATAGTAGCCTACACAGAAAGGGCTAATAATCTTCATTTTACTGATGGAAAATGTGGAGAATTTTTTAAAGAATAGTACTACTGAGTGAAAGATATAAACATTTTGTAGCTCTTGGTACTATTTTGTCATAAGTTTAATTTTAGGAGTGCCTTTGTATGCTTTGATTGACATAACTTTTCACCTGAAAACTCATATTCGTGAAGTGTTAATGATTAGAATATTATTATTTACAACTGTGAAACTCAGGAATGATTTATAAGACCAAAACAGACACAGAGTTAAAACATTTTCATGCCATTTTAGCATGACTGTGACAAAGAATGGGTCAAATTGTGGGGAAATGTTTCTAATCAAGAAAAAAAAAGATCTGCCCAAGACAATGATTAGAGGTGCACACAGAGAAACAAGACAATGTATTGATTAAGGTAACAATCTAGAGACAGTAGGTTTGAACCTGAGCTCTGAAACCCACTAGTTACTTTTCCATTTATACTTTTTTTTTCCAACTTTATTGAGGTACAGTTGGCACTTGCCAAATTGTTTATATTCAAGTTTATGTAGTGTGACAATTAGATATTTTTTTGTTTGGGGGGATTTCTTTTGTTGCTGTTGTTTTTTGGTGGGCCTTGTACTTCTAGCTTCCTTGATATGCCTCTAACCCAGTAATGTGCTTTTGTTTTTATTTTTGTTTTTGCAGTATTGAAGATTGAACCCAATCCTCTGGTATGCTAAGCAAGTGCTCTACTACTTTAGCCATGCTCCCATGATTTGATATTTCATTATAAAGTGATTGCCAAAATTAAATTAATTGACACATGCATCATTGCAATTAGTTACCTTTTAAGGAGGTATGCATAGATTCATGAGCTTTAAAAAATATTTTTATCAGTACTTTTTTAAAATAGGGCAGTCTGTTCTCAATTATTTACTTAAAGGATGTGTCAAAAAGCCAGGCATGGTGGTATGTGCCTAAAACCCCAGAATTTATGAGGCTGAGGCAGGAGAATCATGAGTTCAAGACCAACCTGGGCTACAGAGTAAGTTAAGGCCAGTCTGAGCTTTATAGCAAGACCATCTCCAGAAAAAAATGTTCCATGATGTAATGAATTTCTTTTTCTTGAATTTCAATGTGGATTTTATCCTGTTTTCTTCTCCATCCTGTTTTCATCACTTCATTGCCTATATGTAATATATGAAGAAAGAGATCTGAAATCAGCCTCAGTTCCAAAGTGAAGCTTGGCAGTAGTTTAGGAGAGATACCATAAAGTCTGGAGCCAGTGATTAGAAAAGTTATACTTTGGGGCTGGGAAGGTGGCTCAGTGGTAGAGTGCTTCCCTTGCATGCATGAGGCCCTGGGTTTGATTCCTCAGCACCACATAAGCAAAAAGAAAAAAAGCCAGAAGTGGTGCTGTGGCTGAAGTGGTAGAGCACTAGCCTTGAGCTGAAGAGCTGAGGGACAGCACCCAGGCCTAGAGTTCAGCCCCAGGACCAACAAAAACACAAGTGGAATGTGTGATGGACATGGTTGTATAATGAGCTTGTTGTTCTTGTGTTGGGCCTGGGTGCTATCCTTCAGCTCAAGGCTAGCACTCTACCACTTGATCCACAGTGCCACTTCCAGTTTTTCTGGTAGTTTATTGGAGATAACAGTATCATGGACTTTCTTGCCCAGGCTGGCTTTGAACCATGATCTTCAAATCTCAGCCTCCTAAGTAGCTAAGATTATAGGCATGAGCCACCAGCACCCGGCTAATGAGCATTTTTATACATACATGATTTTAGCAAGATTGAAACTAAATGTACAAGATAATATTGAGACTTGAGAACTCTTAAGGTAGGAAGAAGCTATGTGTATTAAGAGTTGAGTTTAATCCTAATATATTTAAAGTGTAGTTAAAGTCATAGGAGTATAGGAAACAGAATGGCATGCAGACTTGGAACTGGATACTGATTTTAGCAGTAGTATTTAACTTGGATGTGGCCTCCATGTTTGCTTCTAATCAATTTGTTATTTCAGGAATATATCTGATATATATTAATTGTAATATATCTGCATGTTTGTTCTTCTAGATATTTCCTCTATACATAGGGGTGATGGCTATACAACTTTGTGACTGTTAAACTACTAAAATATACTGCTAAAGAATAAATGTGGAGGGCTGGGAAGGTGGCTCAGTAGTAGAGCACTTGCCTTGCATGCATGAGGCCCTGGGTTCCATTCCTCAGCACCACATAAGCAAAAAGAAAAAAAGCCAGAAGTGGTGCTGTGGCTCAAGTGGTAGAGCACTAGCCTTGAGCTGAAGAGCTGAGGGACAGCGCCCAGGCCCAGAGTTCAGGCCCCACAACCGGACCCCCCCCCCAAAAAAAAAAAAAGAATAAATGTGGATTTCATGATATGTGACTCTCAGTAACTTTATTATTTTCCATATTAGGACAAGAAAGACGATGTTCTGATTGGTCTGAAGTCCACAGCACTGCTGTTCAGAGAAAACACTAAGCAGTGGCTCAGTGGCTTCAGTGTTGCCATGCTGGGAGCACTGAGCCTGGTGGGTGTGAACAGCAGTCAGACTGCACCCTACTATACCGCTCTGGCCGCTGTCGGAGCCCACCTGGCTCACCAGGTTTGATCTTTTTTCCTACTTTTCCCTCAGTTTTTACCAGTATAAATTATAGCAATTACTTAAAATGCTGTGTGTGTTTTCAAGGCAAAGAACTTTTGAAACAAGTATTTGGCTTGGCTTGCCTTAAATTGTTCCCTCTCTGACCCAAGTTATATTTTTAAAAAGTTAGCTATATTATTTTTAGAGAAAATGATGAAAATCTGACCCTGGACTTGCCTTGTTGAATTTCTGGAACTACAACTGATGTGTCTGGGAAATTGTTTGAAGCTTATGATTTGAGTTGAATTATTATTTGACCCCAGAAGCAATCTGAAGAACTACTTTTTTGTGTGTGTCAGATCTCAGGCTTGAACTCAAGGCCTAAGCACTGTCCGTGAGTTTTTGTGCCAAGGCTAGTGCTCTACCATTTGAGCCATAGTTCCACTTCTAGCTTTTTGCTTGTTAATTAGAGATAAAAAGTCTCACAGACTTCCTTGCCAAGGCTGGCTTTGAAGTGTGATCTCAGCTTCCTGAGTGACTAGGATTATAGATATGAACAGGCACCTAGCTTCTTCCTTCTGGGTTCCTAGTCATATTGGCAAACTAATTCAGAAGTTTGGATTCCACTGGCATAGAAACCAATGACACATGAAACATGAAATGCTAAACTTTCTAGGCTCTGCCTCAATAGCAGGAAGCTCAGTGCTGGACAGTAACCAGCACTACATCCCTTCTCAGAAGCTTACATTGGGAGTCTACATTGTTGACTTACTAAATAGGTAAATAAAACCTTAATTTAGATAAATCAATTACTAATGAATAGATTACATCTATATCAGCAGTGCTGGGTGTTGTTTGTTTTAAGAGACTATAAGATATTTGTGACCTTTGTACAGCATTTTTACAATAAAAAGAACGTACCAAAAAACAGATATTTGTGAGCTATAATTAGCCGATCTCTGATTTGCAGATTAGGGCAGATTACTTGTCAATGTAGGCAAGACTTGTGAAACATAGTATGAGTAAACCAAAACCTTATATACAGTGTTCCCTGCTTTTTTTTTCCTCACTATGAATTCTGAACCACAGCACCACTTCCAGAATTCTAAATTATGAGTTGGTGATGCCCAGGATTTCACCATTTTCCTCTGAGTTTCTCAGCTTCCCTTTCTGGCCATAACTCAACTTCCCAAGGATTGTTATCATCAGTAGATTGTCTGGTCTGGATAGTGGCTATCCCTAATATTTAAATACTTGAATATTTAGATGGCAGAGCGAGGCAAACAATATGAGAATAACCAGATATATAAAAAAATATGTGGAAATCACTTGAAGAAAAAAATGTCATGTTAATTTTTAGTCCACAGACCCCATAATAAAAAATAGCCAGTTCAAGCCAAGCTTCTTGGCACATGCCTATAATCCCAGCACTCAGTAGGCAAAGAGTAAGAGAATCTGGAGCAGGATGCTAGCCTGGGGTGACTCCCTTTCAAAAATGAATGAATGGCCAGGCACACCAGTGGCTTACACCTATAATCCTACCTATTCAAGAGGCTGAAATCTGAAAGGATCATGGTTCAAAGCCAGCTGAGTAGGAAAGCCTATTAGACTATTATCTCCAATAAACTACCAAAGTGGAATTGTGGCTCAAGTGGTAGACTGCTACCCTTGAGCAAAAAAAGCTCAGGGAAAGCCGGGCGCTGGTGGCTCACCCCTGTAATACTAGCTACTCAGGAGGCTGAGATCTGAGGATCTTGGTTCAAAGCCAGCCCGGGCAGGAAAGACAGACTCCTATCTCCAATAAACCACCAGAAAACTGGAAGTGGCACTGTAGCTCAAGTGGTAGAGCACTCGCCTTGAGCTGAAGAGCTGAGGGACAGCACCCAGGCCCAGAGTTCAAGCCCCACAACCGACCAAAAAAAAAAAAAAAAGTTCAGGGACAGTGCCCAGGCAGAGTTGAAGCCCAGGATTAGCACCCAAAAACAAACAAACAAAAAAAATGTTAGTTCTTGGTATATTTGCAAGGTTACTCTGGTAAAAGGGAAAGTGTATGTTCTGGTCACTAGCTTCAGTTCTGGGTCTCTGGATGCCCTCATGATATATGAGGGAGATTGTAAATGTATGGCTACTACATTTTTGGTTATTATAAAACTCACCTAGTAAAAGGAGTTGTCCTGCCCAAATGCAGCTTTTTATCAGTGGAGAGACTGCTCCAAAGATAAAGCTAGACCCAGCAAGTAGGTGTTCCAAGATAGCAGACTTCAGATTGTCTGTGTAAGAAAGAACTTTCTAGATATAAGTTTAGTATTCCTTGTCTGAAATTCTGGGGGGGTTGGGGGGTGGGGGGGGGTTATTGTTGAAGGAGAAAATGTGTACCTGGGTAGGAAGTAACCCAAAAGGGCTGGGAAGGTGGCTCAGTGGTAGAGCGCTTGCCTTGCATGCATGAAGCCCTGGGTTCAATTCCTCAGCACCACATAAGCAAAAAGAAAAAAAGCCTGAAGTGGCGCTGTGGCTGAAGTGGTAGAGTGCTAGCCTTGAGCTGAAGAGCTGAGGGACAGCGCCCAGGCCCAGAGTTCAGGCCCCACAACCGGACCAAAAAAAAGAAAAGAAAAGAAAGTAACCCAAAAGACCACACAGAAGGAGTCACGTAGAAGGAAAGATTTATTGCCAGCAGAGCTGTCAAGGCCCTGTTCTAAAGAGGAAAGGGAGAAAAATGGCAGCTGTCTAGCTCTTTGGAGGCCCCTTTTATATCAGAGGTCGGAAGTGGGAGATGCCTCACCTACTGCGCAGTGCTGCCATTGAGGGCAGAGATTAGGCCTGCAAAGTGGGCATTTCCTTACATTTCCCCCCTTTTGGGTTTAATATGTACAGTACTGGGCAGGGAATATGGGCAAATGGAGCTACTTATTGCTGAGGGCGGGGGGACACTGTAAGGGAGAAGGGGTGCCAGGTACTGTACATGAAGTTGGCCAAGGTCATGATGGTTATGAAGGTGTTACTTGTCCACAGCAGGGTCCTCTGGTTCCTCGATGACTGGAGGAAGACCGGGTCCAGCCTTTTTTATCTGTAGAGATAGGGGTCCGGTTGGCTCAGATGTATATGAGGGTCCATCAGGCACATGACATTTAACATGCCGGATGTGAATCCAAGGTGGACAGCCCTGAACCTGCACAGCTGTGGGAGTAGAGAGTTACTGAGTAGGGTCTCTCCCACTTAGCAGAGAGCTTGGTGGAACTAAGTGCCCGTGGCAGGTAATTTCTTGAAATGTACACTAGGTCCCCAGCCTTGATGGAAGGCTCGGAGAGCAGTGTGGAGGGCTTAGGTTCATATTGGTCCACATACTAACAGAGAAAAGTGCGCAGGTGCTGAAGGAGAGGGGAAAACATTAGAGGGGAGGGGAGGGGAGCCAAGGGGAGTCCAAGGTCTGAAATAGGGAAGGCAAAGGTGGGCAGCCATACATAACTTCAAAAGGACTTAATGTTGGGGGGTTTTTTGGCAAGACTCTTAAGCAGAAAAGAGCTAAAGGTAAAAAGCTTTAGCTAATCTAGATGTAGTTCAAGGGACAGTTTGTTCAGAGTTTGCTTAAGGGAGCAGTTAGCACGTTCCACCTTTCCCAAGGACTGGGAGCAATAGGGAATATGGAAAGACCAGGAGGTATTTAGAGACCTGGCCAGTAGCTGGTCACGGAGGAGACAAATTCCAGTCCATTGTCCATCTGGATGGAAACAGGCAGACCAAAGCAGAACTATTTCCTATAAGAATTGCTGAGACACAGAGGAGGCCTTCTTGGTGGTGGGAAATGCCTCTGTCCATCCCATAAGGATATCTGCCAGCACCAGCAAGTACCTGTGGTCGGTTGGCATATGGATGAAGTCGATTTACCAATCTACTCCTGGGAGGTTACCTCGAGCCTAATGGGTTGGGAAGGGAGATGGCCGCACATTGGTATTTGGCATACTTCACAGGTTTGTGTCAGCTGCGTGAGGAATTGTGTTTTGGTCCCATTTATAGGAACTCCTTTAAGGCCCCTATCTGGGGGTGGAAAAGATGGTGAAGGTATTTAAAGATGTCCTGCCTAGAGGGAGGAGCAGGATCCTCTATTATTGGCAGTGTTACTGCCCATTGTTTTGATGATATAGCAGCTTGCTTGGCAGTTTCATCGGCCAGGTTGTTTCCCCTGGTTATTACTGAGTCATCTGACCTGTGGCTCCTGCAATGAACTATGCCGAAGGCTGAGGGGAGGAAAGGGGCCTTTAAGAGGTCAGTAATATAGAACCTACTTATTACTGAGGTTCCCTTCGTTGTTAGTAGGCCTCGTTCCTTCCAAATAGCTGCATGAGAAAGGATGGTATAGAAAGCATATTTAGAGTCTGTATACACCATCAGGGAATGTCCCGAGGCCAATTGTAAGGCCCCTGTTAGGGCTACTAATTTGGCCTGTTGATTGGTAGTGTGGAGAGGCAGAGGGCCAGACTCCACGACACGAGAGACTGACACAACAACATATCCAGCTACCTGTGAGCCTTCCCAAAGAAAGGAGCTATCATCAATGAGCCGGGTGAACTGTGAGTCCTTTAATGGCCCCTCACTAATAAGGTCTGGGTGAGGTAACAGGTCCTCCAGAGTCTGCACACAGGAGTGTGCTGACAAGGTCTCTGTATCTGGAGTGGGTAATAGGGTAGAGGGATTTAATGGAGGGCAGGACTGGAAGGTTAGCGTGGGTCCTCTACCAGCGACACCTGAAGGGAGAGAATACGGGAGGGAGACATAGTTTGCAACCCTTATAGGTTAGTAGCTCAGAAAGATGATGGTGGGAGAGAAGATGGTAAGGTTTGCACCAAAGGTTAGTTTTTTCGACTCCTGTTTCAGGACAGAAGGCGGCTAGAATGTGAAGGCAAGGAGCCCAGCCCCTAGTGGTGGGGGTCTAGGCATTTTGACAAATGAAGGTCCAATCTGTTGACCTAAAATTCCCAATGCAAAACCCTGGTTTTCAGTTACATACAGAAAGAATGGGTGTGAAA